GATTTACACACCACCATTACAGTATTATTCTATATTTTGACTGTACATTTACTTTACCAGTGAGTTTTATACTTTCTTATATTTTTATATTATTAGTTAACATTTATTTCTTTCAGCTTTAGCATTTCTTGTAAGACAGGTCTGGTGGTGATGAATGTATTCATCTTTTGTTTTCCTAGCAGAGTCTTTACCTCTCCTTTATTTCTGAAAGACAGCTTTGCCAAGAAAAGTATTCTTGGTTGTCAGGTTTTTGGGGGCACTTTGAATATTTCATCTCATTCTCTCCTGATCTATAAGGTTTCTGCTAAAAAGTTCACTGCTACATTTATTAAAACTCCCTCATATGTTAGTTGTTTCTTTTCTTCTATTGCTTTCAGGATTCTCTCTTTGTCCTTGAATATGAACAGCTTATTATAGTATGTTTTGGTGTAGTCTTGTTTGCATTGAATCTGATTGGAGACCATTGACCTTCTTGTGCCTGGAAATTTATGTCTTTCACCAGATTGGCAAAGTTTTATACTATTATCTCTTTAAATTAACTTTCTACTTTTGTCTTTCTCTTCCCTTTTATGAATTCCTGTGATTCAAATATTTGCTCTTTTGATGTGTTTCATAAATCCTGTAAACTTTCTTCATGACTTTTCATTCTTTTTTCTTTTTATTCTCTGACTGTATTTCAAATAACCTGTCTTTGAATTCATATTCTTTCTTCTGCATGATCAATTCTGCTGTTGATGCTCTCCGATGCCTTTTTAAATTTCATTCATTGTATTTTTCAGCTCCAGAATTTCTGTTTGATTTTTTAAATAATTTCAATATCTCTGTTAAATTTCTCGTTTTGGTCATTTATTGTCTTCCTGATTTTAGTGAATTGTTTTTCTATATATTCTTAAGGTTTGCTGAGATTACTTAAAACAATTATTTTGAATTTTCTGTGTAAGGCAGTTTGTTGTCTCCATTGCTTTAGGGTCTGCTGTGGGGAGATTATTGTGTTCTTTCGGTCATGTTATGTCTCTTTGGTTTTGATGTTTCTTGTTGCCTTACATTTATGTCTGTGCATTTGAGAAAGTAGGAATTATTTTAGTCTTTGCAGTCTGACTTTGTCTGGGAAAGCCTTTCACCCTATTTAAAGATTCTAGGAAGGCCATCTGGCATGGTGCCAGGGCAGATTTGCTGCTAGAGTCCTCAAGCAGGCTAGTCTGGTGCCTAGGACGACCAATGGGCAGGTCTGTGCTGGGGGGAACCTTGAACCAGAATCTGCAGGGTTCTACAGCACTGGTGCAGGCTTCTTTAGGCACTTCAGTAGGCCTGAAGCCCAGTGCTATTGAAGCCAGCTTGCTGCTGGGATGGGCCTAAAGCCCAGTGCCACTGGGTCCAGTTTGTCACTCAGTCTGGTCTGGATCGTGGGGTCACTGAGGCTGAAATAGAGCTATAGGAGGCTGGAGACTGAGTTTGCAGGGCTGGACTGAATCCTGGGGCTGCAGGATTTAGGTTGGGGTCAGGGTGAGCTTGGAGGTTCCGACCATGGGTACTGGCTAGAGTCTGGGGCTTTGGGAGCCGGATTTTATTGAAGACGGTTCTGTGGTTTGAGTCTAAGGCAAAGTCTTGCACTCACTTCCTTCTCCTTTCCCCAAGCATATGGTATCTCTCTCAGTGCTGTGCTTCCTGGAGTTGGAGAAGGTGACACAGTGAAACTTTTCTTCCTGCCCTTTTCAATGTGCTCCTTCTTATTTCTGTGTTACACCCAGGTGCTGTGATCTTTCATCTGGTTTCCTCAGCTCTTGCAAAGGTGTTTTCATGCATAGGTAGTTGTTCACATCAGTGTTTCTGCAGGGGAAGGAAGGCTGGAGAGTCCTATTCTGCCATCTTCTGCTTCTCCCCAATTTTCAGAGCAGAGAGTCATATTCTGCTCTGCTTCTCCCCAATTTTCTAATTATATCTTTATTTTTCTATAAGCGCAAAACTTTCCTTTGTTTTCTTATACTAACTGCCTACTCCCACCCAAGACACACAGACTTTGTTCACAGCCTCTGGCTGCTTTTAACAGGTATGAGATGGAAGGGAAAAAGAGAGTAAATCTTTTTAACGGAGGGCCTGTCCCTGGTTAGAGAATGCAAGAAGAAAGAATACGAAAGAGGTTAACTAGGGAATATTAAATAACAAAATACAGTTGACCCCTGGACACTGTGGGGGGTTAAGGGTACCAATGCCCTATACAGTCAAAAATTTGCACATAACTTTTACCTACCCCAAAACTTAACTGCTGTTGACCAGAAGCCTTACTGCTGACATAAACAGATGATAACACATATTTTCCCTATGTATTATGTGCTGTATTCTCACAATGAAGTAAGATCTCCAAAGTAAAATGTTATTAAGAAAATCATAAGGAAGAGAAAATATATTTACTATTCATTAAGTGGCAATAGATAATCATAAAGATCTTCATCCTCATCATTGAGTAGTTTAAGGAGGAGGAAGGAGAGGACGGGCTGGTCTTGCTGTCTCAGGGGTGGCAGAGGTGGAAGAAAATCTGCATACAAGTGGACTCATGTAGTTCAAGCCCCTGTTGTTCAAGGACCAACTGTATATGAGTAAAACAGATTTTAGATAAAGCGACATGGTATCCATACATTGCCATGTTGTGGAGTTGATGAATAGAAATATGTTGCAAGTTACTTTTCAAAAGTTATCATGAAAACATAGAAATTATGCATGATGCTGCTTGTCAGATTTTCAAAGGAAGGAAGCCCAGGTGAAAGACCTTCAGGAAGGAATGGCAAGTGGGGGGACTCTGGTGTGGTAGACAATGGCACTAGAAGAGACCTTTGGTAATGACTGGAATGTTTGAGATGAGGAAGATACAGAAAGACAAAAAGTGATGTAGCGCTCACGCAGATGCAGAAGTGTTTTTGGAGAAAAATAGTGACATAGAAGAAGCTTGCAGAGGTAACATTAATAATTAAGAAATAAAGGCTGACCCGAAGCAGGTAGGAAATGTAACAGAGATGCAACATTACATAGGGGACAACAGGCCTGGCACGAGGTGAGGCAGGAAAGCCCCCAGGGCACAGCTTGTAAGGAGATCTCACTTGGCATGTGAGACTGAGCTTCCTTAAATTTCAAGGCACCTAAGGCATCACCTTCATCTCACCCTAGTTCTGACTCTAAGAGACAGTAATTTTTTAAAAGTGTAGATAAAAAGAGTACGAATAGAAAAAATATATAGAGGGAAAAAAATACCAAGAAATAGGAAAAATGGAGGGAGGCACAAAGAAAAGTATGCAGAAAATGAGTTAAAGGACAATGAATGAAAAATTGGTAGAGAGTGGATCACGCAAAGAAGGGAAGAGAGAAGACAAATCAAGACATTCTCTGATCTGAGGAGACAAGAACTGGAAAGGAGGCACAGGGTTTGTCCTATTACTATGGGGGACCAGCTGCCTCCTTATCGAAATGGCCCCTGTGACTCCACCTCCACCCCCAGATTATAATAGGCCTCTCCTCAGGCATCACTTCCTCTCCATGGCTCAATCACCATCTAGGATCTGTTGATTTCTAAACATACGTCTCCAGCTCAGACCTGTCCTCTTGACTCCTTTCCCCAATTGCCTGAAGACCTTTAGTTAAAGACCTGAAGAACATCTCTCTTCAGAAGCTGCATCTGTCATCTATTGCTGTGTAATGAAACAAACCATCCTGAAACTTAGTGGCTTAAAACAATCATCATTTCATTTGCCACTTCTGTCAATCCCAACTTTAAAATATCTCTAACTTGTCCATTTCTCTTCATCTCCAGCACAAACATCCTAATCTAGATCCCTGTCACTCTCACTAAAATTAGAGGAACAGTCTCCTGTCTAGCCCTCAACCTTACTCCTCTCAAGTCTGCACCTCAGCTGAATGGACTTTTCCAAAATAGAAACCAGTTGATATGACTCTCCTGTTTGAAACCCAGTGCCTTCATGTGGCCCTTAGCAGTAGGTCAGCACTGCTTGGAGTGGTGAATTGAAGGATGCCTACCACGCACCTGCACATTCCCCATCACCCTCTTCTCACCCCTTCATGCCACATTCCCACCACACTAAGCTTCCTTTACTTACTGGAATTTGCCAAGCTCTCTTTCTTTCATCTCTGCCTTTATATATGCTTTTGGGAAAACAGTTGGGGGTAATCTTTCAAAGCTGAAAATATACATGCCCTATAACTCAACAATTACATTCCTCAACAGAAACCAACAAAAATGTGTGTTATGTCACCAAAACCCATAGAAAAGAATGCTCAGGGCAGCCTTATTCATAGAAGCCAAATGCTTGAAATTGCACAAATGAATAAATAATTCATGGCTTATTTTTATAATGGAATACTATCTAGTAGTGAAAATAATTATTCAAAATGAATACAGATGACTTTCACAAGCATGTTGAGTAAAATATACATATAATTTTGGGGGATTTGGCTTCTTTGGGGAGATCTATATATATTGAGAGAGAGGTGGGGGAGAAAGAAAGAGCGAGAGAAAAGAGATGATTCAATTTATATAAATTACACAGCAAGCAAACTTAATCTCGGTGTTTGAAACCTCACTGATAGTTGGCTTTGAGCAAGTTAGTGGAAACAGTGGGAAGTGTCACTAGGAGGTATCTGGGGTATTGGTAATCTGTTTTTTGATCAAAGTGATTTACTTCCTTTGTGATCATTCAAAACCCACTTTTATTCATCTGTCTTATACTACCATTATAATTTTTATTTTTTTAAAAAAAGCAAAATATTAACCATCAAAGGATGAGAAGAGCAGGTAAAGGGAAAGGTAAAAAACAAAACAGAGCCAAGAGAGGCACAAAGGAAGGGACAGAGTTGAGCAAAAGGAAAAACAGGGAGGTGAGGTGAAGGTCTAGCCCCAGCAGTGAAATTGCAGACAGGAGGAGTTATTAATGATAGTGAAGGAGGTCCACTGGGGAGACAAATGAAAATTCTTCATTTATTATAATTTGGCCCAGGGGCAGAGCCACACAACCATGGAATCCAAATTAATTCCTGTTCTGTGCGACTGGTGGATATAAAAAAGGAAAAACCATATCGTACTTCAAATGCTGAATGCCGAGCCCAGGCATCTGACATAATAGGTAAGGCTGCCCGGGAGAAGTTGTAACTGTGAGCCACAGGTTACCAGGTAAGGGGCTCGGGGACTTCATCAGGGCCCATCGGGGCAGTGCAGGTACCTGGGATGGAGGCAGGAAGGGAAAGGGGCTGGTACCTGATGCGGTGAGTCTTCAGCTTGACAGAAGAAAGTCCTTGGGAGCTGGGAAAATACCAGAAGACAGAAATGGAGGTAATCAGTAAGAATGTCAGAGAGGCTATTTCTGAAGTCAGAGAGGGCTGGCTCATGCCTGTAACCCCAGAACTTTGGGAGGCTAAGGCAGGCAGATCACTTGAGTCCAGGAGCTCAAGATCAGCCTGGGCAACATGACGAAACCCCATCTCTACAAAAAATATGAAAATTAGCCAGACAAGATGACAATGTCTGTAGTCCCAGCAACTTAGGAAGCTGAGACAGGAGCATCGTTTGAGCCAGGGACGCGGAAGTTGCAGTAAGCCAAGATTCTGCCACTGCACTCCAGATTGGGCAACAGAGCAAGACTCTGTCTCAAATAAAATAAAAAAGGAAAAAATAAAAAATAAATAAAAATAAAGTAAGAGAGGAAGTCATGGGAGAGGAGTTTAAAAAAAAAAATGATCAGGGAGCCAAGATATTCACAAGAGGAGATGGGGGAAGAAACACAGCAGACAAAGAGAGGTATAAAGAAACACCATCACCAGAAACAGAGGCAGAAGCAGGGGAGATGGCAGAACAAAGAGGAAAGATGAGAAGTAAAATGAGAGTGAAAGAGAAAAGTAGAATGAGGGTTGGGGTAAGAACAGTGTCAGTGGATGGGCACAACTGCCTTCTGTGTGTCGATTTTATCAGCTTTTGGTTAAGAACCTGGAACAAACTGCAGGTGGCATGCATTCCAGGAACACTCCAGGGTCTTGAGTTAACTTAGCTTTCCAGGTCTTCCTAGTGCTCTTATTGTGGAATTTCCTGGTGCGTGGACTCGTTGGTCACACCCTGAGACTCTTAATGGTTTTTGCTCCTTTGTGCAGTCATCAGCAGTGACGACTCTGAAGGATTCACCGATGTTGATGAGCCCCTAGAAGTCTTCATCTCACCAGTGAGAAGTAAGCCTGGTAAGGAAGTTTGGGAGAGCAAGACTTGGGCTGTGGGAATCTGATTTAAGAGCTACTGTTTCCTGATGCATTTTATTCTGAGCTCATTCTGTAAAATGGGTCCATTTTATCCTGGGATCCCATTCTTTGCATTAATTTTACTTGACCTTTTTGGAAAATGCAGAGAGACAAGAAATTGTTAGAAACTTATTTTTGAGAATTAGCCTTCTTTCTTGATGGAGTCTATTAATCAATATTCATACCCATACATTGATTATATAGCAGGAATAGGCTAGCAAAGTGATGAGTTTGTTTTTAAAACTAACTAGTTGCTACGTCTATATAATGTTAGATTTATATAGTGACTTTTATAGAGAATAGAAAGCTAAATATTCCTTTATGGGAAGATCTTATTGTCATCTGATCACGAACTTTGAATAGGATCAAAATAGGATGAGAATCCAACTGTCTGGTGTTGGCAAAAATAAACACCTGAGATAAAGTATTCTGAAACCTGAAGTATTGTTTCTGACAGCATTCTTCAGCAAGTCATGGCACATTTAGTGATTTTTCAAAAGACTTTTGCAGATTGTCTTACTTTTAAATTTACGATAACCTTAAAAGGGTAAACAGAATAGAGATTCTCATCCTTGTTTCCTAGAAGAGAGAACACAATTGCATAGATGTTTCAAAGTCATCTCCACAATCTCATGGTAAATTAAAAGAAAGACAAGGCTAGTATCCTGGATTCTGAGTTACTTCCTTTGTGAAATGAAAGACAGAAACATTATTAAAATCTTGTATTATCTCAATCCTATTTGCAGCATGAGTTGTCATAAGATTTATAACTTTTTAGTGTTCAAATTGGTTGATTTGTTTTGCCCTTTACTTTCTAGATCCAGGGGATATTAGAAACATGCCACTTTAGGGAAAATACACTAGGGAAAGACCTAAGAGCAAAGAAGAACCTCATCTTGATGTTATAAAATAACAATGTAGTAATACATTCATTCTAATTGCTCAATGCATCTTTCAAAGTAAAATGTAAATTTGCATTAGTTTTTGGACAGTACGTACTCTAACTTTGATCTTGGTGTAAGTAAACTGCTCTAAAAATTAGTCCCAAAATATGTCTTTGGCTCAAACACAAGAGGAAGTTATTTCTCAGCCTTATAAACAATTCAGGAAGGCACTGTGTTGGTGGGAGATAGAAGAGGCTCACATCTTTAACAGAAGATCTTCAAGGTCTCTCTGCATGAAAAATAGAAGCAGAAGCAAAGGAAATGTGGAGTGGCAAGTAGAAGGGATAAGAAGTAAAAGAAGTGTGGGAAAGCAAAGGCCAAGCAAACCAAAATTTCCCTCTGGGGACAAGAATGGAGTATCGCTAACCCACAATGCAGGTAACTTGAAAGGATCGAGACAAGCGTGGCCTGTGTACAGGCGAGGACTTGCACGCATTTTCAAGGTTTTCTAGGTTTTCTTATTAGGGAATTTCCTACTGAATTGATTCCTTGGTCACACACTGAGACCTCTAAAGAATCCCATTCTTTTGTGCAGTGATCAATAATGACAACTCTTTAGAATCAAATGAGGAAAAGGAGGGCCAAGAAGCCACTTGCTCACGACCCCAGACTGTACCAGGTAAGAATATTTTGCAACCCGAGGCTGCAGAATATCCAGAGTACAAATCCAGAACTCTGTTTTCTTGATTAGTTTCATTCCGAGTGGTCTCCTTATTCCTTGATTCTGTAAATTCTAGAATACCACTTTCTACATTTAACCTCTCTTGCCCTGTTGAGAAACGGAAGACATTAGGAAGACATTATAAACTCTGGTTGAACTGGATTGGTTCAATCGACTGACACATTGAAAATGTAGCAAAAATATTCTAGTAAAATAACAGTCTTTTTTAACAACAAACTATCAAGAGTTATTATTTTAAGGGTCGAAATAATGTACTTATTCTCTACTACTACCCTTTGTATTTGATAGAGCATGATAAGCACAGTCTTCCTTTATTCATTGATAATATTGTCTTAATCACAAACTCCAAAAGTCTTCAAAGAATAATTTGTGCTGCTATTTAATTATTAATGGAAAAACAAAAAAGGGGGGACTTCAGCTACACCCAAACCCAAATTATAGTTCACTCATTGGCTTACATTGTGATTTTTCACAGGGCTTTTGTAAATGAACCTTCATTTCCCCATCACAAAAACCTTAACAGGGAGGTAGGATAACTAGTTTATCCCTGCTTTATATGTGAGAAAATGGGAGCTAGTGGTGTTTAAGAGTCATTTACAATCAGGCACGGTGGCTCACACCTACAGTGCCAGCACTTTGGGAGGCTGAGGCAGGTGGGTTGCTTGAGCTCAGGAGTTTGAGATCAGCCTGGACAACATGGAGAAACTCAATCTCTACCAAAAATATAAAAATTAGCTGGGCATGGGCTGGGTGCGGTGGCTCACTCCTGTAATCCCAGCACTTTGGGAGGCCGAGATGGGCAGATCACGAGATTAGGAGTTCGAGACCATCCTGGCCAATATGGTGAAACCCTGCCTCTACTAAAAATACAAAAATTAGCTGGGCGTGGTGGCACTCGCCTGTAGTCCCAGCTACTCAGGAGGCTGAGGCAGAAGAATCACTTGAACCCGGGAGAGGGATGTTGCAGTGAGCCGAGATCATGCCACTGCACTACAACTTGGGTGACAGAGCGAGACTCCATTAAAAAAAAAAAAAAAAAGAAAGCTCGGGAGGCTGAGGTGAGAGAGTCACTGGAGCCTGGGAAATTGAGGCTGCAGTAAGTTACGATTGTGCCACTGCACTCCAGCCTGGGTGACAGAGTGAGACCCTATCTCAAAAAAAAATAATGACAAAGAACAAGATCATGTATTTTGAGAGAACATAAATGGAGCTGGAGGCTATTATCCTTAGCAAACTAATGCAGGAACGGAAAACCAAATACCACATGTTTTCACTTGTAAGTGGGATCTAAATAATAAGAACTTATGAACACAAAGAAGGAAACAGCAGACACTCGGGTCTACCTGAGGATGGATGGTTGGAGGAGGGAGAGGAGCAGAAAAGATAACTATTGAGTACTGGGCTTAATCCCTGGGTGACGAAATCATCTGTACAACAAACTCCTGTGACACACGTTTACCCATGTGACAAACCTTCACATATATCCCCAAACCTGAAATAAAAGTTGAAAAAATTTAATAAAAAAGAGGCATTTCCAAATAATACACACAGAGGATGACAGGGATTGCTGGGCAGGATCCCAACATTATGACCCTGAACCTCCAGAACTGGATTCACTAGAAGGAGAGAGAGAAAAATGCTCATCAAAATTTCGTTATTGGCGGGGTGTGACGGCTCACACCTGTAATCCCAGCATTTTGGGAGGCCAAGGCGGGCAGATCACCTGAGGTCAGGAGTTCGAGACCAGTCTGACCAACATGGTGAAACCCCATTTTTACTAAAAATACAAAAATTAGCTGGGCATGGTGGCGCGTGCCTATAATCCCTGCTACTCAGGAGGTTGAGGCAGGAGAATCACTTGAACCCGGGAGGCAGAGGCTGCAGTGTGCCAAGATCACGCCACTGCACTCCAGCCTGGGTGATAGAGCAAGACTCCATCTCAAAAAAAAAAACAAAAAAAAACTTTCTTATTAACCCAAGCCCATTTGCCGTGTCAGTTGTCGTAGAATTTATAAGTCTCTTGCATACAAATAACGGGTTTCTCCCTTTTACTTTACAGAGCCCATGGATTCCAGAAAATCATCTATATTCAGAGAAGGGTTTAGGAAAAGAGGTAAAAGAAAATAACAACTCTTCATGGTTATAAATGAACAATATTTTCTACAAAAGAGTCAGTCTAATTCCTTGCTATATCCTTCAAAGTAAAATATAAATTTGCTTTAAATTTCAATGGTTCCTATTTTAACTTTTGTATTAGTTAGGTTGGCTAACTGCTATAACATATGAACCCAAAGAAGTCAATGACTCCAACATAACAAAAGGTTTTTTATTTTTTTTTAGTAGAAGTTTATATTTTTTTCAACTGAATATTTCAAGGATTTTTAGATGGGGGAGAGGTTGGGCTCTGTTTCAAGCAGTTCTTCAAGCAAGCAGGCAAGTAGAAGATCTGCCTTCTTTGATCCTAGACTTCCATGGTTGCCCTGAGAGAGAAGCAAATGTACAAATAAATACAAATCCATATCCAAAAACCACAACAAATCCATAAAGAGACAAGTAAAGAAAGAAAGATAATGTAGTGTAAGAAGACAGAGGGCCAAGACAAAGCAGAGATGCCCACTAGGGCTAAAATTTTCTCAGCCTCAGGCTCAGGTGACAGTGAGGGATAAAATACTAACCTTGAGCTACAAAAATCTGAATCAAAAGGCAGATCATGGAGGTTTGAGGGCACGGACATTCTTGCCCTGAAGTTTCAGAGCATCGCAAATCTTTCCTAGTTTCCTTTTCATAGAATATTCTTCTGGCTTGGTTCCCTTATCATACATTGAGACCTCCAAAGGACATTTGCTCCTTTCTGCAGTGATAGGACAAGACTGCAACTTTTCAGACTCCAGCGAGGAGGAGGCGCTCCCAGAAGTCTTAAGCAGGGCACTGAGAAGCAAGCATGGTGAGAAGGGTAAGAACAGCCCCCTTGACTCCAGGGCTCTGACTTCAGAGCATCTCTTCCCTGGTACACTGTGCTCTAGGCATGCACAACAGCTATCCAGGAGCCAGTTCTCTGCATCTAACTCATCTGGTCATTTTGAAAAATGCAAAGAAAGAAGTGACTCTAAATTCAGACTTAACAAGATGGTTGTGGTTGAGTGGCAGTGCCCTGTTTACTACATACTGCTTGTATTAGTCCTTTTTCATGTTGCTGATAAAGACATACCTGAGACTGGGTAATTTACAAAAGAAAGAGGTTTAATGGACTTACAGTTCCACATGACTGGGGAGGCCTCACAATCATGGCAGAAGGTGAAAGGCACGTCTCACATGGCGGCAGACAAGAGAAGAGAGCTTGTGCTGAGAAACTTCCCCTTATATAATCATTCAGATCTTGTGAGACTTATTCACTATCACGAGAACAGCACAGGAAAGACCTGCCTCCATGATTCAATTACCTGCCACCAGGTCCCTCCCACAACACATGGGAATTCAAGATGAGATTTGGGTGGGGACACAGCCAAACCATATCACTGCCAGACCTATTAACTCCAAAGTATTAGATTTATGGAGTGATTTCTACTTCTGCCCATTCCCTGTTTTATAGAGAAGAGAAAGTACATTAGTCTGTTATTGCTTGATTTTGTCACAAACTTGTTCAAAATTCCAAAGCTTCTGGTCATACTCTTTAGTTATTGACAGAAAGACAGGCTCCTGGTTCTTACCATCAAATTCAATTCATAGCTTTTGACAGATGGCCCCCAAAATGAAATTGGCCAAATAGTGATATTTGAAAATATATTTGCAAATAAGATCTTCTTGCATCTTTACAACAACCTAAAATGTGGGCAAGATAACTATTGTTCCTCCCATTTGACAGATGGGGAAACTCAGGCACACTTAAGGATCTTTTTTCTTTGAACATCATATATGAAAAGTTATGGGAAGAGACAAGACTAACAGCCCAAATTCTTAATAAATATTCATAATCCTCTATAAAACCTTCAAAGCTAGATGTACTTCAAAGTTCAAAAAATGTTTCATTATTTTAGAAAGACAATGTGATTTATATTCTATATACAACAAAATACCCCAGTAGGATCCAGGAAGAATCCCATTCTCAAATATACTAATGTTTATACAGCAAATTATATAAATATTCACACGAAATATGATAAGATTTTACATAGACTCATGGCAACTCAAGTCCAGATTCACTGCCAAATTTGTTAACTGCAAACCTATGAAAACAATATTGGTTATTAAAATATCTTTGAGACCAGGTGTGGTGACTCACGCCTGTAATCCCAACACTTTGGGAGGCTGAGGCAGGTGGATCTTTTGAGCCCAGGAGTTCAAGACCAGCCTGGGCAACATGGCAAACCCCATTTCTACAAAAAAATACCAAAAATTAGCTGGGCATGGTGGTGCATGCCTGTAGTCCCAATAACTTGGGAAGCTGAGGTGGAAGGATCATTTGAGCCTGGAAGGTCAAGACTGTAGTGAGCCAAGATTACACCACTGCCCTCCAACTTGGCTGACAGAGTGAGACCCTGTCTCAAATTAAAAAAAAAAAAAAAAAAAGTCACTGATTTTGCAATTACACTAAAGGATTGTGGATCTGTGCTCCATTTCATAGTAATCCCTTTCCCTTAGATGGGAAGAGACAGAAATGATCCTCAGAGAATATTTGTAGTCCAAATTCTGTCAACACTGTAAGCAGCCATAAGACTTATAGATCTTTTAGTTAGATATTATTGATTTGGTTTTCCTTTACTTTCTAGATCCTGTGACTTCTAGAAGTACATCTACTTGGGGAATACCCAACAGGAAGAGACGTAAGAGCAATTAAAAACTCTTGATGTAACAAATGTCTTTCTCTGCTACAAAAGCTACATTCAGTTTTTTTGTTATATCCTTTAAAATAAAAAATTAATTTGTTGGGATTTTAGATGATTTGAATTTTACATTTTCTTTTTTTTTTTTTTTTTTTGAGACGGAGGCATTTTACATTTTCAACTAGATGAGTTGGGCTAGTATAAAACATAAACCTCAAAATGTTCAAAGGTACAAGCTCAACATAAGTTTATTTTTCACTCACATAAATAGGGTAAAGTAGTTCCTGAGTGGAAGGGGTGCCCACACAGTCATTCAGGGCCCAGCTGATGGAGGCTCTGACATCTTTAAGATGTTGCTTCCATGGTTCCCTTGGATAAGAAACTGAGATGGAAGCAGAAGTATGTGCAAACTAATAATGAAAGGATAAGAAGTTTAAGAAACAACGTCATCCCCAGCCCCAGCCTCAGAGAGGGCTCCTAGAGCAATCTTGACCAACAGGTCAGATGATCAAAGCCAAAGAGTGGCCTAGTAGTAGGAATATTTCTCCCCCTCCTACACAAGCTTCTCTTGTTCAGTTTTTCTTTTAAAGAATTCCCTGCCGACTTCTTTAAAGAATTTTCTTTTAAAAAATTCCCTAAGACTCAGACTAAGACTGTTAAGGAATTTTTTTTTTTTCTGCAGGTTTCAGCAGCAGTGACTTTTCAGAGCTGAGTAATGGAGAAGAGCTTCAGGAAACCTGCAGCTCATCCCTAAGACGTGGGTCAGGTAAAGAAGATTAGGATGCCAAGACTTGGCCTGCAGAATGTCAGGAATCTGAATTAAAAGCTGCTGTTTCCAGATACTTTTTATTCTGAGCACCTTGACTGCCTTGTATCCAGTTCATCTGGGAACTCCTTTTTGCATTTTAGAAAATGGAAAGAGGCAGGAAATTATGATAAACTCATGTTTAACAGAATGAGTCTCACTGACTAAATGTATGTAATTATATTTTGCTGTTGTCGAAGAAATAAATAGCAAATTTGTGGATCCTTTTTTTAAAAACCTGCTCTCATTCCTGTTAACACTAAGATCTTAGATTTTTACAGTGATAAATGGGTTGACATCAATGTCGTTTGTAATTGTAAAGCCTCCTACTATGTAATTATAGACAGAAATAAAAACTTCAGATCGAACACTCTCAAACGTTAGTATAGTTTTTGGCAGATGTCCTTCATCATGTAATTGGATTATATTGTGTTATTTCAATGTATTTTGGCAAATAAGATCTTATTTTATCATTACAAAATTTTTAAGACATAGGCTAACTCTTACTATACCCATTTTGGGGTGAGGAAATAGAAGTACAGAAGTATTAGGGCCAAAAAACTAAAGAAACAATAGAAACTAGCAACCCAGGTGTCTCATGGTGGGTGACTGTTGTATGTAACAGACAGGAGGATAAGAGCTGTGTCATTTAAGCCAAAGTCCAAAGAAGATGCACAAGGAACTCAGAATATTCACAGGAGACTATACCAGTGCCTGATGCCAGAAAGCTTATTTAGCAACAACTGTGAGCGTGTGTGAGCGTGTGTGTGTGTGTGTGTGTACACATGCATATATTTGTTACATATAACATGTATACATACATAAACACACACGTGTGTGTGTGTGTATATATATATAGGTTAATAATATAATCTTTATGGGGAAGGAAAAATTAAAATCGCAAAGAGACAGAATAGGAATGGAACCAGCTATATAATATACAAAATACCTAGAAAGATAGAAGCAAAATGGATAAACATAGAAATAAAGGAGAACAGAACATCATTGAATGAAACAGAAAAAGCAACACAGGAGACAAGAAAAATCAAAGGGAGATGAGCTCACCTAATCAAAGAGATAGCGACAAAAATGTATAGCAGCAGGGCAATGGGCAGAAAAATGAGAAGTAAGGAGGAGAATGAGGTGTGGTTAGATAGAGTAGGGCTATGAGGTGTACTCATTGATGTAGGTGTATTTTTTTGTCAGTTCATCTAAGCTCTGAAAATAGTTCAGCATGACCACATTGAGACAGGTTCCCTGGTTTCCTGGTCACTGTCTATAGTCTATTATTTCCTTGCTTATCTTCATTGTCCTGTGAATTGAAAGCTCCTCCAATGAATACAAAGAGAGTCAGAAGAGATGCAGCCCATTAGCTTGTGATGGAGAAGCCAATTATGATGTTAATTATTAATTACCTTTGTTTTCCTCCTTGCATGGAGGAAAAGCTCTTTTTTCTTTTCCTTACCTCTCCCCCAAAACATATGCACACACACATACACACTACACACACAAAGACTTGTGCACAGACTCTGGCTGCTTTCAACAGGTTTGAGGGAACCAAAAGAAAAAGAAGAGCTGGGCTCCTGAATGGAGGGAGGAGACACTGAGTGGATAAAGTAAGGAGAAAGAGTGGAGAAAGGTAGGCAAGAGTCACCAAATGGAAAGATGTAAGAGTCAGCTTCAGGTTTTTCTAAGTGGACAAGGAATTCAAATATTCCAGGTTTTGTGGGGGAAGGGGGATAATTTTCAAGATACTTCTCAGAAATTGTACCAGAAACGTGAAAATAAAATTGGTGATTGATTGACAGCCTTGCAAGTTAGAAAGCTCATAAGGAACAGACAAAGGTAATAGAGATGGCTATGTGGTCAGTGTCCAAACTGCAGGCATTTGGTGATGGAAGTAATAACCTGTGAGATAAAGACGAATATAGATGAAGAAAATGGGGATAAACACAAAGATTGAAATTGCAAAAACAGTCAAGATCAAGATAAGGGCCAGGCGCGGTGGCTCACGCCTGTAATCCCAGCACTTTGGGAGGCCGAGGCGGATGGATCACGAGGTCAGGAGATCGAGACCATCCTGGCTAGCACAGTGAAACCCTGTTTCTACTAAAAACACAAAAAATTAACCAGGCATGGTGGTGGGCGCCTGTAGCTACAGGTACTTGGGAGGCTGAGGCAGGAGAATGGCATGAACCTGGGAGATGGGTCTTGCAGTGAACCGAGATTACACCACTGCACTCCAGCCTGGGTGACAGAGTGAGACTCCGCCTCAAAAAAAAAAAGATCAAGATAACATTCAGAGAAACAAAGCTAGAAGAGAGAACAGAAGGAGGAGGTGATAGTAGAAATAAGTTCACCTCAATAATAAAAATAGATCTAGAAATATAAACAGGAAAACAGGTGGAATGAGATACATACAAAGGGTTATAAATGGAGTGGTGTAAAATATTAGGTACTACGAGAAGTATGTAGAGAAAGAATTAAAAGATGAGAGAAAAATAGAGGTGAGAAGGGGGAAGTGTAAAAGGGAGAGAAAAGAATGATGGAGAAATTGTAGAATCTGAAATGACCATGAGATAAAAGCAATTTTAGCACAAGGCATGATTCATAATAGCAGTAAGTTTTCAGAATAAAGTGTCCCCTTACCCCTCTGACTCACCCAGATTACAAAAGCCCTCACCCAGGCATTTCATCCACTCCTATGATTTCGGTCACCACCCACAACCTCATGATTCCTTCATGTGTATCTCCAGCCAGCCCTGTCTTCTAAACTCTTTATCCAAGTGTCAGAAGGCTCCTGTTGGAGGTCCTGAAGGCCTTAGACTTCACCACTTGAATGTTACTCAAGACCTTCAAAGTCAACACCTCCAAAACTGAGCACATCACCTTTTTCCCTAAAAGCAGCCTTTGCTCCTCCAGTGTTCTCCATCACTGAAACAAACTATTAAATGACCCTTTATGTCAAGATGAAATTCTCAGGGTTATTCATGAATAGAAGGGACAAACACAGTGAGAAACCACAAAAGAAAAAGAGATTTCGGAGGTAGAGCCCATCCCTTAATTTAGCTGTGGGGAGTGGGTAGTCACTAATGTTGGGGGAAAGGAGAATCTTGGAGGAGAGTGGGCACAAATAAAAATGTTTACAAATCACAATTTAGGATCAGAGCTACAAGGACCTGAAAATGAGAAGTGTCCCTGTGTCATGTGTTTTCCAAAAGGTGTGCCAAGAAGCCAAGAAGCAAGGACTGAAAATAGTCAAGCATCTGATATGATGGGTAAGGCTACCCTGAGGTCTTGGGATGGAAGTGGCTCAGTGGGTATCACAGACACTGGGTAGGGATGTGGGAAGTGATCAGAGTTGAAGCAAAGCATCAGGCAGTCTCTGGATCACCAGCAGGAAGTGGGCTCACAGGCCTCAAGCTTCAGAATTTCAGAAGTCTGAAATCATAGCCCCCGTTTCTTCCTGCTCTTGACTGTGAGACGACTGTGACAAAGAACAGGTTTAGTGCATGCCAGAATCCTGTTCTCTGCATTTGCTTAACCTGACCCTTTTGGGAACTGCAGGGAGGCAAGAGATCATTATAAAGTCATATTTAACAGAATGGGCTCTCTTGGTTAGGAGGTAAAAGAAAATACACTGGTAAACATAGCAGTATGTCACTATATTAGCGTATCAATAGTAAAGTGTTGAGTTTATAAAGTGAGTTCCACCCTTGTTCTTGAAAAAAAAAAAACTCGTTCTTCCACTCACAGGTAATAGTGTCACTGTCATAACTTTGGAAAGCCTAAAAAGACAAATAGTCCTGCTACCTGTCAGAAAAAAAAAAAAACTCAGATACCTACTTTTAATCTAAAAATACATAGTTTTGAAAGATATCTTCTTGTCTGTTATTGATTTATATAGTGATTTGCTATTAACTTTTGCAAATAAGATCATATTTAATATTCATAAAAATTTTAAAGTTGAACAAGATAACTGCTGCTATCCCTGTTTCATAAATGAGGAAATTGGTGCATAAAAGTAATGAAGAGCTGTTTCAAAGTCTCAGAGAACTACAGGAAGACCTTAGACATCAATAAAATGTCTGTTTCCTTTGGAAGGAAGACAGATAAATTATACTCAGAATATTGTTATAAACACAAGCCTTCCATGCCGTGTGAATTGTCATAAGATTTATAAATTTTACTTATAAATTACAGTTCTCTGACCACTACTTGTCACTTTCTAGATACCATGGATGTTGAAAACAATTCTACTTTGGAAAAACACAGTGGGAAAAGAAGTAAGAATAAATAAGAATTTACTTAATTTGTATATTACAAATGAACTATTTTTTAATGCTAAGGTTTATTATCATTATTTTCTTTTTTCACCTTTTATTATAGATTAAAGGGTACATGTGCAGGTTTGTTACATGGGTAAATTGTGTGATGCTGAGGCTTGGGGTCCCAAAAATCCCATCACCCAGACAGTAAGCATAGTACCCAAGAGATGGTTCTTCAGCCCATGCCACCCTCTCCCCTCCCCCATCTAGTGGTCCCCAGTGTCTCTTGTTCCCATCTTCACATTTATGTGTATTCAGTGTTTAGCTCCCACTTATAAGTAAGAACATGCAGTATTTGGTTTTCTGTTATTGCATTAAGTTGCTTAGGATAATGCCTCCAGCTCCATCCATGTTGCTGCAAAGGGCATGATGTTATTCTTTTTTTTTTTCAAATTATACTTTAAGTTCTAGGGTACATGTGCACAACGTGCAGGTTTGTTACATATGTATACATGTGCCATGTTGGTGTGCTGCACCCATTAACTCTATCTCCTAATGCTATCCCTCTCCACTCCCTCCACCCCACAACAGGCCCCAGTGTGTGATGTTCCCCTTCCTGTGTCCATTCTTTTTATGGCTGCATAGTATTTCATGGTGTATATGTGTGCCACATTTTGTTTATCCAGTTCACTGTTGATGGGCAGCTAGATTGGTTCTATGTCTTTGTTGTTGTGAATAGCACTATAAGGAACATATGAGTGCATGTATCTTTTTGATAGAACAAATTATTTTCCTTTAGGAATATACCTAAAGGTGGTGGGATTGCTGAGTAGAATGGCATTTCTGTCTGCAGGTCTTTGAGGAGTCTCCACACTGTCTTCCACAGTGGTTGAACTAATTTTACACCCCCACCAACAGTGTATAAGCATTCCTTTTCGTCCACAACCTCACCAGCATCTGTAATTTTCTTGATTTTTTAAATAATAGCCACTCTGAGTAGTGTGAAATGGTATCTCACTGTGGCTTTGATTTGCTTTTATCTGATGATTAGTGATGTTGGGTATTATTTCATGTTTGTTGACCACTTGCATGCCTTCTTTTAAGAAGTGTCTGTTCATGTCCTTTGCCCATTTTTTAATTGGATTTTTTTGTTTTTTGCTTGTTGATTTGTTTAAGTTCCTTATAGATTCTGGATATCAGATCTTTGTTATATGCACAGTTTGCAAAAATTTTCTCCCATTCTGAAGGCTGTCTGTTTGCTCTTTTGGTAATTTCTTTTGTTGTGCAGAAGCTATTTAGTTTAATTAGGTCCCACTTGTCAATTTTTGTTTTAGTTGCAATTGCTTTTGGAGACTTAGCCATAAATTCTTTGCCAAAGCCTATATCAGGAAGGGTATTTCCTAGGTTTATTCTAGGATTTTCATAGTTTTAGGTCTTATATTTAAATCTTTAATCCATCTTGAGTTAATTTTTGTATAGGATGAGAAGTATGGGTCCAGTTTCATTTTTCTTCATATGTCTAGCCAGTTATTCCAGCATCATTTATTGAATAGACAATCCATTTCCCATTGCTTATTTTTGTTGAAGATCAGATGGTTGTAGGTGAGCAGGTTTGTTTCTGAGTTCTCTGTTCTGTTCCACTGGTCTATGTGTCTGTTTTTGTACCAGTACCATGCTATTTTGATTTCTGTAGCCTTATAGTATAGTTAGAAGTCAAGCAATGTGATGCCTCTAGCTTTGTTCTTTTTGCTTACAATTGCTTTGTCTATTCAGGCTCTTTTATGGTTCCAACTGAGTTTTAGAATAGATTTTTCTAATTCTGTAAGAATGACACTTTTATTTTGATAAGGATGGTGTTGAATCTGTAAATTGATTTAAACAGTATAGTCATTCAAACTATATTGATTCTTCCAATCCATGAGCATGGAAAAATTTTCTATTTATTTGTGTCATCTCTGATTTATTTCAGCAGTGTTTTGTAGTTCTTCTTGTAGACATCTTTCACCTCCTTGGCTGGATGAATTCCTAGGGATCTCATTTTCTTTGTGGCTGTCGTAAATGGGACTGTGTTCTTCATTTGATTCTCAGCTAGAACGTTTTTAGTGTATAAAGATGCCACTGATTTTTATGCATTGATTTTATATTCTGAAACTTTACTAAATTTGTTTGTCAGTTCCAGGAGCATTTTTTCTACACCTTTCATAAGATAAAACCTGAATGCCTTTTAAGGTAGCAATTTATTTTTTTTTTTAATGCTCATGTTGCTTTTTATTCTGTCTTCATCTTGCTTTTTATTCTGATTTTAAAATAGACGTTCTTGTGAACATTGGTGTCTATCTTTCCAGAATTTTACTATGCATGTATTAACAGATTTTGGAATACAGTTTTATTTATTTAAATGAGTAATTCTGTACATACTTGTCCTTTCTTGCTTTTTAAACTAATATACCTGGACAATAAAAACATATTTAATTGAAATATAAAAAGTCTTATGTCAGGACTGCTTTAATGAGCATGGTTTTCATTTTTAGTGTGGTCAGGAATTTTTCATTTATTATTGATGATTTCTGTTTCTTCTTCGTAGAACTCTTTGTCAGAGAATGCTCTCAGTGTTTGTGTGTGTGTGTGTGTGTGTGTGTGTGTGTGTGTGTTTGAGATGGAGTCTTGCACTGTTGCTCGGGCTGGAGTGGAGTGTTGCGATCTCGGCTCACTGCAAGCTCCACCTCCTGGGTTCACGCCATTCTCCTGTCTCAGCCTCCAAAGTAGCTGGGACTACAGGTGCCCACCACCATGCCCGGCTAATTTTTTGTATTTTTAGTAGAGTAGAGGTTTCACCGTGTTAGCCAGGATAGTCTCGATCTCCTGACCTTGTGATCCACCCGCCTCAGCCTCCCAAAGTGCTGGGATTACAGACGTGAGCCACTGCGCCCGGCCCTCTCAGTGTTTCATGTCATGGTGTTTTTCTTATTATTTTGAATGAATATAGAAATCTTATATGTTACATATATTAAATCTTGGTCATATGCATTGCCAGTATTTTGTCCATTTATTGTTTTTCTTTTAGATTTGTTAAGGGAATCTTTTGTCCTAGAGTAGTTTTAAATTTTTATGTAGTCAAATTTGTCAGCCTTTTTCTAACTGGTTCTTGGGTTCCATATCTTATTTACAACTATTTCTTCCTCAATATTTTAAAAATATTGTTCTATATTTGATTCTAGAAGTTTGATACAACTGATCATTTTTAATGTTTACATATATAATCTACATGGGAATTGCCTTTCTGTGTAACTGAGGTGGGAATTTTAAAAATATTCTCCACATAATGCAAGGTGATTTGAATCACCACTGTGATTACACACACAGTGCCTTTACCTGCCTGTATTCTGTGTTCTTCTTTTGTAATTGAAGGGACTACAGAAGAGAAAGAAGAGCTCAGAGGTAGAACCATCCTGATGCCTCATTGGGGGTGAATTTTAGAATGAGCTCAAGAAGATCTCTCCCAACTCCTTCCCAAATCCACTGAAAGCTCTGATTAGAAATACATTGAACTGGCTAGGCATAGTGGCTTACGCCTGTAATCCCAGTTTCTCAGGAGGCTGAGGCAGGAGGATCGCTTGAACCCGGGAGGCAGAGGTTGCAGTGAGCCGAGACTGCACCACTGCACCCCAGCTTGGGTGACAGAACAAGACCCTGTCTCAAAAAAAAAAAAAAAAGCATTGAAGGTTAATTCGGGAAGAACAGAGACTTTTACTCTTTTATTCATGTCTTATGTAATGTTCTTCCACTAAAAAAATTTTTTATACAATTCTGGCATTTTAAAAAAGTTTTATACATTGTATAAATTTATGTATTACTATGAATATCTTTTTTTCTATTACATAATAACTGGAGTGAATTTAAATGAGACAAGATTCTCAAAATCTTTATTTAAAAGGAAACCTGTAGTCAATTTATTACCTACTTGCATATGAGAGAATCAGAATGCCACTGAGTTAATATAAAATTTTACAAGCATTTATACAGTTTACGGATCCAGATACCACTTAAAATATTATAGCCAGGCCCAAAAATTATCAAATAAAACAATCAATCAGAATTACAGGTTTCTTTGGAAATTGGTTTCATGAGAAGTGGCAATAATTTTCTATTTTGTGGGATTATTACAAGACCTCTTCAAATAGCTCTCCTAAGGACAAGTTCATGTTAACATAGAACAGAACAAATCAGTAACGGTTATGAAAAGACACACTTCCATATTTTGCAAGAGAGTAAGACTGATCTTCTTTTGAAATTTCTCAATTTAACACTTTGTCAAATCAGATTCTTTATGTTAGTGTTGTGGTGCAGAATGTTCTCTCTCCTTCCACAACTATGGGTCGAGGGGCCTTTCCTTTCATCTCCTTCAGCAATTTCTTTTGTTAGTAATGAAGTCTTACATGTTTAAAATCTAGTCTGTGGAATTCATTAGTTAGCCTTATAAGAAATGTAAGCCCATGGAGCTCAATGTTACTGGGAAAAATAGAGGTGCCTGAAATGAATTTCACCTAAAAACAGTGAAATAGGATGCATAGAGACTTTTTTTGTTGTTTTTTTGTTTGAGATGGAGTCCAGCTCTGTTACCCAGGCCAGAGTGCAGAGGTGCAACCTCGGCTCACTGCAACCCCTGCCTCCTGGGTTCAAGCAATTCTCCCATCTCAGCCTCCTGAGTAGCTACGATTACAGGTGGATGTCCATCACCATACCCGGCTAATTTTTGTATTTTTAGTAGAGATGTGGTTTCACCATATTGGTTAGGCTGTTCTCGAACTCCTGACCTCAGGCGATCCACCCACTTTGACTTTCCAAAGTGCTGGGATTACAGGCGTGAGCCACCGTGCCCGGTCTAGGATGCATATAGATTTTTCAACTACAGCTCTCCTATTCTCCATTCTGAATGAGCTCCAGATCCCATATCGTTTTATTTTAAGATTTCCTTTCGTCTTGTCTTCACCTAAATATATAAAGTGAAGTCAGTTCAG